GAATAAACCAAATTATAACAAATATAGGAAATAAGGGGTTATTAATTTATCTAGTTTTTCACTTTTAAAACAGAGTAGAGCTTCTTTTTGGAAGAATGAATAAGGTTGTATCACTGACACTATAGCAGAATGAATTCGTCTAACAAATTGCTTACCGAAAGAGACTTCTGGGATGAGTTTGGTCGTAGAAGTGAAGTACCAGTTCGATCAGGCAGTTATGCAAAAGAATTATCGTACTTATAGAAGAGTTTGTATATATTGTTTCGACAGTTTATGAGCCTATAAGCGCGATAATAGCTAATAAGGGCTGACGTCTAGGCAGCAAATTTTAGAGCCACGAAGCGAGGAAACGAGTAGGCATTCTAAATCACATTCTAAATCATTGACTTTATATATATATATATATAATTTAGTAATTTTATTTTTATATTATATATATATAATGCATATATATATAGCAACTCAATTTTCATAAAATTAAAACCATTTGGTGTGCAGCAGCCGATAGCCAAAATAGAAGATGTTATACAAATAAAAAATGAATTGACAAATAAATATTATATCACATAACATTCATTGGCGTATATTTATATGTATCACCTACGACAGCTTTTGACTGCCATACTCAACTAGTTTAGGTGTACAGAGAATCAAGCGTAAGACATCGACTCATACAACTGTAGACTCATTAAGGTCTCCTGTAATTAATATTGGGATACTCCACGACTAAACGATACTGAGTTATGGGAAGATGAACTGACAAAATTACGCATATCTCTTGGAAACGAATATTCAGAAGAAGCTATGCAACGCAATCGTGGAGTATGAGAGGAAGCCAACGGATACAGACGAAAAACAAATGTTATATCTACCCTCTTGCGACTGGCTAGAAAGATGCGGCCACTGCATGAAATTGAACGTTCGGACAATCCTCTTCACCAGCTGTCCCACACAACATGAAACATTCAATAAACTTGAGTGCTCCAGGAGTTATAGCATAAACTGCAAGGACTGTAAACAAAAATAGATTGGAGAAATAGGAAGGAAAATCAGCACAAGGATCAAAGAAGACCAGCAACTATTCAGGAAAATGTATACGGAAAGATGGGAAATAGCTGAATACATCGTTATTGTCGGTGACACACACGGCTGGTATGTAACGTAAAAGCTGGCCTCATATGGTGAAATCATCAGGAAACGGAAGTTCAGAGAGACAGCTGACATCCTGCTTTAAAGAAAGTTTTAAAGAAGAGTCAGCGATAGCATGGGCAGACTTGGAGATTCAGCGAGGACAGCAAAAAGAAGACGCTTGGGCCAAGGACACTTCTGCAATAACAGGAAGAGACATCGCAAAGAAGAGGAGCATGAGGGGCAAAGGGACGTCAAGAAAAGGGGATTGCGGTGAAACGAGTCAAATCCGGAATCAGCCTGACAAGTTTCAGGTGTGTGGGTCTTCCTGTGGGGTATGGAATTAAAGGTGTTAGGCTAAATATCTAGGTCCGTTTCACAAGTAATCAGAGTGTGGAAACCGAATTGGGGAGCAAAATACCAATTGGTCCTCAGTGTGCATGTGTGTGAATGTGCTTGTGTGCATTTTCTGTGTCCACCTGTAGTGACTTGCGGCATGCATGACTAGGAAGGCTACCATCCGACGTACAAATGCACAATTGACCATAGCTAGCTGTAGGATTAGGTGGGGCTGTAAGCTTGAGAGTCAAGAGGAGTATGTTTTCTATGATTCATGAATGCATTCAGAATCAGGACAGACACAGGTAGCCAAATAATTGGAGAGACTAGGGTGGAGTTTGAAGAGATTGCTTAAGCATGATAAAAAGCGGTCTTTACATCCTCGAATATGACTCATAGGCAGTCCGATTTCATACAGTCAAACCGTGATTTTCGTGTGTAGTAGGGACCCATTGTCAAGCAGAGTGGGGCTAAGTGAAACTCAGAAGCCCTGAGCCGGAAACCCTGGAAACGGCATCTGAAACCGGTGGTGAAGGTGAGTATGCTTCAGAAAATCTACTCGAAGCGACAAACTCTTCGACGAAACTGGAAGTAATGAGAGCATATAATTGTGTTAATGGGTGAGTGGGTTATATGAAGAGGGCTTGATAAAAAGCGATGCAGCCCCAGAAACTGCGATGTGTTTGGCATATTTAAACTCCTCGGATCCAGCAATATTAAGGTTTAGTAGAGGATGCTATATGATATATGGTAAACAAATAAATAAAAATAAATCAATATATTATAAAGAAAACGTAAAGGTTAAAAATAGATACTTTACATGATATAGTATGATACATATGTACATGTGTTTGTTTTTTTGTTGCATATATCATTTTATATTGCATATATCGGTCACTGCACTCAGAATGGTTTAGATTGGCCGGGCATCAAGCTTAATATGTCGGATGGCCAACCAAAAATGTCCTCGTGGCATTGAGACACTTGCTCCAAATTTAGAAAATGCTGATTGTGACCATAACTTATTCTGCTGCAACCCAAAAGAAATCACATCGGGCATCAACCGGGGTGCATACAGTGTTCATTGATAACTTCTGAAGGCTGTCTGCCAGTTAAGAAATTGTAAAAGTCATTCTGTGAGCGTAACGTCCTCTGCTGAAAATGTTGTGATAACTGGTGCCATTGCTGCATGTTCCGAGTGTCTGGAAAGCATCAGCATCAACTAGAACTTAGCGATTGAAGCAGCGACGTTGTTTTGCGTCGTCAGGGCAAGTGAATGAGTGATGGGATATCAGACAAATCGTCTCACTTGAGAAACCGTTCTGCTCCACCGATGAAGTGCTGTCTGCTGCCCCGTCTTCAAAGGTTGACCACAGGCCGGTGGGTCATCACCGCCTCGGTCGGATGCCTCCGTGACCATGGTACCCGTAACCAGACCGCCCAGTCCGTCGGGCCGTCTGGAGGGCAAGAGGCGAGATGATTCGCTGCGACCCGGCCAACGCCTGGATGGCCCAGCTCTCGATGGAGCCAGAGTGGTCAACTGACGCAGAGGTTGAAGAGGCCGTATTGGGATGTGCTGTTGTGACGACGTCACGGTTGATCGCGGCGTCGAGCCGTGCTCAAGCCGGGCGGAACCAACCTCCAGAGGAAGGAAGGACCATCGATTGTCCTCCGTTGTGGACAATTGACCGGCCAACGGTCGTGAAGCAGAGGTGGTCTGGTGAGCCGAAGGGCAGGCGAGGCTGGAGGGCGGATTCGGAGGCGTACCAATCCCAAAGAGCGGACGTTCGTTCGAGCCTCGCTCGAAAACCACTTCGTCAGCCTTGAGCCCGGAGAAACCAGAAGAGGCTTGGCCTGTCTGCAAACTCGACACCTCCTCGACTGGAGTATGCGTCCGACCAGAAGACTTGCCGCTGGGAATTAAAAGTAAAGTCGGAAGCCAATAAACAATGAACAATAACGCGTCTAAACATTAAATGAGCTGTGTTCACCCTATTTCGTTTAAATTGGTCGAGGATTGGTAGTTGAAATTTCCCACAATGATGTGGGTAGACCTTACGGTTCCATTGAATTTCACATATCCCTACTTCTCAAAAGGAGTAATCTTTCAAGGTGGACTGCAACCATGACCTCACCTAGGCCTTATCGATAGCCCCAGCGGGACTCGAACCATGAAACTAGAGCGTATAATCTCGACACGTTAAACACTCGGCCACATTGCCACTAGTGCCCTTGGGTCACAGGGCAAATGGGAATTTCAAGAACGCCCAGGCATATTCCCATGTCTCATTATGTGGTGGGATTGTCGATAAAGTAAACTTACATTTGATATAGTAATCGACAACATTACCTATTTTTCCTTTCGAGTAATGATGCGTCTAAGTGATACAAAGGCGTGAAATCACAGTGATTTCGTGGGCCACCAAACCCAACTAGATAGAGCAACATTATGGAAGCGATTCGAACAAATCGGTCTGGTAGGCAATGATGATAATTTTCACATCTTCGTCCTTCAACACGATGTCATGTATTCCTGCGTACATAAATGCTTAATTTATCTCTTAAAAGTAAAGTTAAACCAGAACAAAGCATTACAACAATTAAATAGTACTGGGCATGCGTCTGGCAGAGTTTGTAAAGCCTTTTTAGCTGAACGCAGGTTTGAGAAGCTCGAGGGTGTATTTAGAAGCATAGCCAGAAAGTATAGCTTACAGTGTCTACCCGTTGAAGATGGCTCAATCGACATAATACCCCTTAAATCTATCAACAATGCTTAAGTAGATTCCATTTAACTTTGTATGCATTAAGCGCATCCCTCAACCTGTCGATTTCGAATGTTGCCCTTGCATCAAGACATCATCAGAACCGAAAGGCTTGTGATTAGTCCAGAAATCTCCCGGAAGTAATAGAATGATTTGGCTCATCCATTTTCGCATCCATCCTAGCCTGTCCACACTTGTATGCCGAATCCATTGTCTGATGCTGGGAATTATGAAAACTACTATGACAGAAGACTTCGAACTAGAGGCGTTCTACTAGTTGCCCTGACAACAAGACCAAGTTGTGACAACGAGATCAACCCACTTCTATAAGAAGAGAATTTAGTTTGAGGGACTGTGCGTCAAGGAGCTTTCGACGAAAAGTCTTACTTCGGTTTCAGATGAGGAGAATTGTGCCGACCAACTGACAGGTTCCTATGGCATTCAAGACCAAGCATTGCGGGGCCCTCTGAGTATGTGACAGTCATTGTGAGTCTAAATGGACAGGCTCGGAGCCAGTGTAGAAGGGCAAAACATGTGGTGGCAATAATAAAAGATGCATTTTTTCTCCATAAATACTTGAAAATCAGAGTAAACTTTCGACTTGGCAAGCGACAATGTTGGCTTCGAAGCGTTGATAATTCGAATAAACGTTATTCCCTCAAAAAATTGAGTAAATCAACTCTGCAAAGTTAGCAAACAACCTCTCTGTGGCTAAGTCGACTTGTGGCAAGCCATCGAGGAAACTCGCCAGACTGAACAGATTAAATATCAAGCAGCTTCAAAATGGGCTGGCCCAGATTAGAAGACCACCAGGACCCCGAAGGAAGGGGGTTCCTACTGTGCAAATGTGGGTGAAATGGCCAACCCGTCAATGAGCAAACAGTAGAAATTTCAGTAAACACCAAATGGTAAGGCTCACACAGACTCAAATTCTCCTCTTCAAACCGGCGACAAGGTCGGTCCAGAGTAAACATGTAAATTAAACGCGTAGAGCATGTCCTATCATATCTTGACTTTTTTTGGAGCAGTAGTTAAGGGGATTGAGAGGCTGGGGGTTCCAAGTGCTTAAGATGATATGAGTAGACCTTACATTTTCATTAAATTTCACATAGTCTTACTTTCCCAGAAGGTGTTCTCATCCAGAGTGGACTGCAGCTTTGACCTCGCCTAGGTCTTATCAACTGGTCAGAAGGACTCGAACCATGACAGAACGACGTGCAATCTTGACACGTTAACCACTACGCCACATTGATACCAGTGTCCTTGGGTCAAACAGCAGATGCGAATTTCAAGGAAGGTCAGATTCTTTCTCATATCACATTTTGTGGTTGGATTGTCGATAAGGCAAAGTTGTATTTGCAATGGCAATCGACTACATCACTTATGTTTCGTTTATAAGTAGGCTTTAGAGACTACCAGTAGTTCATTTATATATATGCAGTCTATTCATGCTATTTAGTTTAAGGTGATGAGGGGACCGGTAGTTGAATTTTTCCCATAATGATATGAATAGACCTTATATCTCCATTAAATTTCACCCACTGACAGTCTCGAAAATCTACTTATACACTAACTATTCGAGAAAACTCACTGGCTTATAGACCAAAAAACTGTACATTTTGATGAGTTATAAGGCGATTTGGTTAGTTGAACTCTAATGTCAATCTGCAAGAATGTGTGTATGTATTTGTGTGTGTGTGCTTGCGTGGCTCCATACGGTCGTATGTTTACGAAGACAATGGCTAATAGATTACCTTCCCCTTGTCTTGTTTATTAAGGTACAAATGTTTACTGTGGGCACTCGGGATTGCCTTAAAATCAGCATCTGGCCTGTGATAGACGGACACTTATGACAGTTTGGCATAGCATCCCGTTGTGGGTGCTGAGGCGACGGTAAGGCAAGGCCGAAGCCGGTGACCAGTCAAGCAAGACAGACTGAAATCACATGTTATCGTGGAGCTTGCTTAAGTAGCTGTGGGAAACTGCAGATATCTACCTTCGTATCAGTCGATTCGTACTATGAAATGTATTCACCCAATTTCGTTTAAGGTGATGAAGGACTGGCAGTAGAATTTTCCCACAATCATATGAGTCGAGCTGACGTTTCGTTTAAATTTCACATAGTCTGTATTTCCCAACTTTTGGGAAATCAAGGCTACTCATATCATTGTGGAAAAATTCTACTACCAGTCTTTTATTACCTTAAACGAAATAGGATTAATTCATCTCATATATCTTCCCTTCACCATCTTATGCGACCAAGGGTGACTTCAGTACTACTTGACGAAGCGTCTTCGGTTCAACAGTGAGCTAACAAAAATTGCAAATATGCATTTTGAGTGGAATTCAAGCTACCGCTAGGTCATGAACAAGATCTGTATCCACCCTGGGCATCACAAAGTGTTGAAGGATTGACAGTTGAATTTCCTCATCATCCTATTTCGTGTAAGGTGATGAAGGACTGGTAGTAGAATTTTCCCACAATGATATGAGTTTAGCTG